TGCAATACAAAGGTACTGGCAAAGTGACAGTGTCGAGAAATAAGATCCTGTTATCTTATAGACAACACCAGATTTATTTTCGACAGACCTATTACCACTTGCACAGGGCAGTGATATAGCAATCCTAGTTATCTTATTTACTCCTCAGACATGGGTGTCATTGCATGACCTGCATTTATGCCTGTTCCTAGTTGCCCTTGAGAAGGTGCCTTCTTGAACTGCTGCAGTTCATGTACTGTAGGTAGACCCACAATGCTCTTAGAGGGAAAATTCCAGGATTTTGACCCAGCAACAGTGAAGGAATAGCAATATATTTCCAAGTCAGAATGGTGAGTGGCTTGGAGGAGAACTTGCGGGGGTGGTGCTCCCCATGTATCTGCTGTCCTTGTCCTTCTAGATGGAATAAGTTGTGGGTTTACAAGATGCTGTCTAAGGAACTTTGGTGAATTTCTGCAGAGCATCTTGTAGACAGTACACAGTGATGCTACTGAGCATTGATGGTGGAGGGAGTGAATGATTGTGGATGTAATGCCAATAAAACAGGCTGCTTTGTTTGGATGGTGACAAGCTTCTTGAGTATTGTTGGAGTTGACCCATCCAGGCAAGAGGGGAGTATTACATCACACTCCTGACTTGTGTTATGTAGATGGTGGACAGGCTTTCAGGAGTCAGGAGGTGAGTTACTCATTGCAGTATTCCTAGCCTCTGATCGGCTCTTGCAGGCATTATGTTTATGTGGTGAGACCAGTTGAGTTTCTCATCAATGGTAAAACCCAGGATGTTGACAGTATGGTTTCAGTGATGGCAACACCATCAAATGTGAGGGTGGTGGTTAGATTATGTCTTATTAGACACGGTCATTGCCTGGCATTTGTGTGGCATGAATGTTATTTGCCAATTTTCAGACCAAACCTGGATATTGTCCAGATCTTATTGCACTTGATTCATGGGCTTGATTCAGTATCTGAGAAGTGCTGAACATTGTGTAATCGTCAGCGAACATCCCCATTTCTGACCTGATGATGGAGGGATGGTCATCGTTGAAGCAGCTGAAGATGATTGGGCCGAGACACTATCCTGAGGAACTTCTGCAGAGATGTCCTGGTGTTGAGATGATTGACCTCTCGCAATCATGACCATGCAGTTCAGGTGGACTGGGCATGCTAAATTGCCTCATAGTATCCAATGATATGCAGATTAGGATTGATTACTCATGGTAAATGTGGGGTTATGTAGAGAAGGTGGAGGTGTGGAGCCTGAGGTCTCTTCAAAGGGTCAACGCAACTTTGATAGGTTGAATGGTCTCCACCTGCACTATAGAGGGTCTATGATTATATATTCCAATGTGCCAGGTATGACTCCAATCAGCAGAGAGTTTCCTACTGATTCCCATTGATTCCTGTTTTGCTAGGGCTCCTTGATTCCACACTCGGTCGAACATACCCTTGATGTCAAGGGTTGTCACTCTCACCTCACTTTTGGAACTCAGCTCGTTTGTTTAAACCAAAGCTGTAATGAGGTCAGGTGCTGAGTGGCCCTGACGGAACCCAAGCTGGGCGTCACTCAGCATGTTGTTGCAAGTGCTGCTTGATAGCATTGTTGATGAATCCTCCTATCACCTTACTGATGATTGAGAGAAGAAGAATGGGTGGTAATTGGCAGGGTTGGATTTGTCATGCTTTTTGTGTGTAGGACACACCTGTGCAAATTTCCACGGTTCGGTTCCAGTGTTGTAACTGTACTGGAACAGCTTGGCTAAGGGAGCGGCAAGTTCTGGAGCACAAGTCTTCAATACTAATGCTGGAATGTTGTCAGGGCCTGTAGCCTTTGCAGTATTCAGCATTTCCAACTGTTTTGTGAAATCACGTGGAGCGAATCAAGTTGGATAAAGACTGGTATCTGTGATGCTAGGGATGACTGGAGGAGGTTGAGATAGATCATCCACTCAGTACTTCTGGCTAAAGATTACTGCGAGTTCCGCAACCTCAATTTTTGCACTGATGTTCTTGGTGTTTCCATCATTGAGGATGGGGATATTCCTGGAGCTTCCTCCTCCAGTGAATTGTTTAATTGTCCACCACCATTCACGACTGGATGTGGCAGAACTGCAGAGCTTAGATCTGATTCATTGGTTGCAGGATCACTTAGCTCTGCCTATCGCTTGCTGCTTATGCTGTTTGGCATGCAAACAGTTCTGTTTGGTGCCTTCACCAGGTTGATACCTCATCTTCAGGTATGCCTGGTGCTGCTCCTGGCTTGCCCTCCTGCGTTCTCCCTTGAACCAGGGTCGATTCCCTGGCTTGATGGTAATGGTTGAGTGGGGGATATGCCGGGTTACAGATTGTGCTGGAGTACAATTCTGCTGCTGTTGATGGCCCACAGTGCCTCATAGATACCAAGTTTTGAGTTGCTGGATGTATTTAAAGTTTGGCCCATTTAACACAGCAATAGTGGCGCACAGCATGACGGAGGGATTCTAAATATGAAGACGGGACTTCGTCTCTACAGGACTGTGTGATGGTCACTCTTACCGATACTGTCATGGACAGATGCATCTGCAGCCAACAGATTGGTAAGGATGAGGTCAGGTATGTTTTTCCCTCTTGTCGGTTCTTTCACCATCTGTGCAGTCTAGCAGTTATGAAGGGCAGATTGTTAAATGCCTGTGAGAGCCTGCATGCCCTTTTGAGCAATGGTATCAGCAATCTGAACCTGCATTGTACCAAGCTGGTAACAAGCAGAAAAATTATGTCCTCTATCTGGACCCAAACATTGGGTTACTTCTGCCTGCGCTGCAATGAAACCTAAGACATCAGTCATCACTTGTTGTATCAAGGTTGGATCTCCATGTATTGTCATGGTGTTGGTCTTCACTTCAACATTGGAAATGATGGAGTCTACCTCCTGGGTGAGGTCCTGAACGAAATTAGATTTAGATTCTTAGTCAGGTAAAGGAGATTGCAGCAGGCCCACAGATGCATTGAGAATTATGTTTACAGGAACTGCTTTATTGTGAGCTACCTCAACATGTACTTGTCAAAGTCAGAACCCTTTAGCTCTTCTTGTCTGTGATCTCTCCCTCCATTGAACTTGTACACAAATGATTCCTTTCCCCTGCCTGGCCTGCAGCCCACACATGTCCAGTGACTCACTACATGTGCTCTACACTAATTTGTTAAGTCTCTATCGTGTCAGTACTTGAGTTGGTGACTGAATGACTGATCAAATGATGGTGTTTCTTTATCAGGGGTCTGATATTGTTCACAGTCTTCCTCATGCGACTGCAATGGTTGACTACGTGGTGAGTTTTGGTTATCTTGAAGCCAACATGCAGAAGGAGAGGGTTCGTACAAGCAAAGATGGCTTGGGTGTAAAGGAAAACTTCCATGGCCACACCTTCTACAGATCACATTTTAGGATGAGAATGAGGCACGATTTGAGAATGGTCACATGGCAAGAATGCACCATTATTCTGAGTGTTATCAGTTAATTTACCCTGAATGCTCTGTCACCGGTGGCCCATGATGTTCCCTACGGAGGACTCAAGGATGTACATGTGCGAACTCCCTTCAGATCAGTTCTACGCTGTTTCTTTCTATTTGGTTCATTTGTCCTGCAATGGAGAGGACAAAATATTAGTGAGCATGTTGCAATGTTTTTGGTTGATGTGATGCCATAGCTAAACAGCTCGTGGTATGTTGAAGCATTGAGAAGTAGGTGCAAGACAGGCAACAGTAATAAATGTGTGAAGATGAACGGAAGCATCTGAATTTTAGGCATGAATACTGATTGCTGCTGAGTGGTACAGCTGTGGTAGAACATAGAACTTAGAACAGTACAGCACAGTACAGGCCCTTCGGCCCATGATGTTGTGCAGACCTATTATCCTACTAAGATCAAGCTACCCTGCATTCCCTACATTTTACAATCCTCCATGTGCCTATCCAAGAGTCGCTTAAAAGTCTCTAAAGTATCTGACTCCACTACCACTACCACTGCTGGCAGCGCATTCCACACGCCCACCACTCTCTGTGTGAAGAACCTGCCTCTGACATCTCCCCTATACCTTCCTCCAATCACCTTAAAATTATGCCCCCTGGTAATAGTCATTTCTACCCATTCTTCAGGGTCTAGGCCCGAAATGTCAGCCTTCCTGCTCCTCTGATGCTGCTTGGCCTGCTGTGTTCATCCAGCTCTGCACCTTGTTATCTCAGATTCTCCAGCATCTGCAGTTCCTGCTATTTTTGAAGTTATCTGTCTCTTTTCCAGCCCCTTTACCGGTCATTACCTTTCCAGAACCAGCTTCATGGAGTAACAGCAAATGCTGTTATTTCTCAGACATGTCTAAACGTTAAAGTTTTAAAGTGTATTCCCACCTATAACGTATTTTTTTCTAATCACTTAGTGCCTCACAGGGATAATGCTCACTGTCTCTGGGAGAAGGACCTGTTCACTTAACGTGCGGATACCAATCGTTATCTCTGGTAACCACTGGCAACCTATTTTCTCTTGTCAATTTTTACCATTTGGGATGAGTCCACAAATAAAATCTCTCCCAATTCTTAAAGTGCTGAAGGAAAGCGCGCTTGACCTTTTCATAAGGCTGGTAAAATTCATTAATACTAAGTGTATCTGCGATCAAGGCTAGAGTATTTAAAATAAATCAATAACGTTTAACGAGAATATAATACCCGGGATAGTGTGTGTTTTCATATGTTGGTCATGTATCTCTCTAAACTTTCTGAATTGTTCCTTTCATTCACACTGGCGAACTGTTTCAACTTGAGCCTTGTGATCTTGTTTAGCTCCGTTCTCCCACCCCCCTCCCCAGTTACAGTAAGATCTGAGATCCGGGCTCTGATTTTAATCGTGCGCTTGATGCAAACATGTGAGTGAAATTTAATGCTCCTCTACCCTGCAGCCGCGGGCAGTTTCCAATCCATCCAATAGCCTGCTTGGTCATCAATCCAAATGTAGAGTGTGTGGAGTCGAGTTTTATCCTCTGTCATTTCAGCCAAACAGGAAATGCCTGGAGATTTCCTCATAGTTCCTTCGCTAACTGCCACTGAACTTTCAGAACTTGTCACTGGAACAAGTTGAGTTCAGACGGATCACTTCTCCCTGTCTCAGGTCAAAAACGCTGTTTCCCTGTTCTTTGAGCTGTTAAAATTCAACCATGCTGTCGAAGCTCCACAACACAGCTTTTATCCTGGTCGTAGGTAAGAAAGTATATCTTTAAATTTAGGAGTTACAAGAGGTTACGCAGTTTGTCGACTCTGGCTATGATATTAAAATTCAATTTTGCTGTACACAGTAGCCAACAATCGTGTATCTCGGTATTGATTTGTAATGTGTTGAGGATTTCTGCTGACTATACTGAATGTTTCGTACCTTCCGTTGGATAAGAAATGATTTTTCCAAGTTTGTTTCTCTTTTTTTTCATAGTTTTATTTATGCGTAAGATGGAAAAAGAGAGAAAATCCAATGAGACGATCAAACCGAGTGAACGCTGCATCATATTTAACAGCCTCTTGTTGCCAGAACAAGATGCTGTTTTTTTTCCAAGCAGTACCGTTATTGTTCAGTGAAGCATCCTGCCAACGCATTATCCTTGATAGCCTTTTGAATGACTGCTCTAACATTCACTTAAGGAGCATTATTAATGGATTTCTGCTTATTATTTTGAAAATTTTGAAAGGAAATAAAACCTTCAGAGTGCAGTGACGAATGGATTAATGTGTAAAAAACTTGATAAATCAATTAGAAGCTTCATTGTTATTAAAGAAAAACTCCCTGGTTTGGATTTCATTTAAAATCTTTCTTGCTCCTCGTCATTGTCAAGAGTTCAAAACAACTCTGCAATTCCTTCCGCTCATTATAGCAAGAAATAGATGAAAGCAGATTTGTTTAATCATTCCCATGTGCAAGAAGCACAACCTTCTCCGGACCAGCTTCCAGTAGTCAGGGTGTTGTCTTCTAAATGGTGATGAAAACAGACTGCCTACAGTGGCCACAATCCAGTTGTGAGCTGGGGGTTCATTCTCAAGTGAGTGAAATCAAGTAATGCAGGAACTTTCGTACCTAAGGCATTTTCCTGTATGTGCAGGAAAGTCTAATCAATATTTCAATTGCGTTTTGATTATGGTTGCAGTGTGATATATAATCATATAATACACCTAAGGTGTAAACAATTCTGTCTGTAATTGTTTTGTTGAACATTTGTAGTATCCAACCCCTTAGTAGCTAAGTTAGTAAACATTTTGCATGGTACTAAGTTATAAAGGTCACAACTGTCCTCAGTACTAACAGTTTGGTGATTTCAGTTAGAGTTCTTCAAGGGTTTTAGCAGTTGATTGCTGTCTTACTGAATGAGAGAAGGCAAAGTCTACTCAAATTCTTATTCCCTCTCAATGTATTGTGATCCCAGCTTGGAGGTGTGTAGTGTGGATATGTAACGATCACAGCCTTAGCCTTGTGTCTTTTGGTCTTCACTTATAGCTGCAACCAAGATGTATTAGTAACTCCAAAACATGTGTGGTTTTGGGTAGGGTTGGGTAGTGTTTGAGGGGGCAAAAAGTTGGCAGATGGAATATACTGTGGGGAAATGTGATGTTATGCACTTTGGCATGAAGAATGGAAGGGTTGAAGATGTTTTAAATGGCGAGAACTGTGGAAAGCTAGGGATTTGGGAGCCCTCATTCATGAATCACAAAACTCTACCATCCAAGTTTAGTGGATAATAGGCAAGGGAAATGGAATGTTGACATTTATTTCAAAGGGAATGGAATATAAAGGTTGGGAGGTTTTGCGAAAACTATACAAGGCACTAGTTAGATCACAGCTGGAATATTGTGAACAGTTTTGGACTCCTTATCTAAGGAAAGACATACTCATGGTGGAGACAATCCTTAGAATATTATCTAGGTTGATACTGAGTACAGAGGGACAGTATTATTAGAGTATGGAAGAATGAAAGGTGACATTATTGAATCACACCAGATTCTGAGGGAACTTGTCAGGATAGATTGGGAACAGTTGTCTCCCCTTATGGAGAGTCTAGGATAAAAGGGGTGGTGCATTTAAAACAGAGATGAAGAGAGCTTTCTTATCTCAGATGGCTGAGAATCTATAGAATTCTTTACCACAGAGGGCTGTACATGTTGTGTTACTAAGTATATTCAAGGCTGAGGTAGGCAGATTTTATTCAGGAAGGGAGTCAAGGCTATGGGGAAAATGCAAGGAAGTGCAGTTGAGGATTATCTGAACAGCCATGATATCATTGAATGGCGGAGCAGACATGAAGGGTTGAATAGCCTACCTCTGCTCCTATATCTTATGGCCTTATCATAAATTGTAAAAAAAAAAAGAATCTCAACGTCACCCTGCTCATTTCCAGTTTTAGCAGAGCAGGATGGTGAGTGGGCAAAAATCCCAAGGTGGTGGGTTGGTACTTTAAATATTACAATGAGGCTGAAGTGCTTTGTTCTTGTCCAACTTTCAGAATGAACCTGTGGATGTCTGGCCTTCCTGAGCCTCTGATCTTTCACTACCTCCCTTGTCGCCCTCTCCCAACACCACCCCCCCACCCCGCTGGCAACCAATACTTCCAATCTCTTCATCACAAGCCTCTAAACTAATCTCCCTCCCGCTCACATCTTCCAACCTCCCTGCAACCACCACCACTACCCCACACAGACATCCAACGCTAATCCCCCACTCCCACCACCCCAGGCCCAAGAATTAGCATACCTCTCCACTGTTCAATTCTTTACATGCTCCTGAGCTTGATCCCCTCCACCATGATTGTTCTTTCTGCCTACCATAGTCCCCCTTCTTCCTCCCTCAGAACTTGACTTGACTGCCACCAAGGCACAGAGCTACCATGACCTAGTCCCCACTGACTGCAAAACAAGCCCGTCAAGCAGTAACATCCGTGCATGCTACACAGTTAAAGCCCCATAGATGGAGGTGAACCTCTGAATTCTCACTAACCTGTACTTTAATGACCTCTCGACACAAACAACACTCCTAATTGTTTGAGTCAAAACTGTGATAGGAAGTAACCTAGCAACCCATTCATTTATGTCAACAAAAATGGGTAGGCTTTCAAAGTCTAAATCCCAAGGATAAAATCATATTCCATCCTGGACCAAGTCTCACCAGCCTTTGGTTTCTATCTCTGCTGACCTACATCACTCCCCCAACACCTCAACTTTAATAATCTCATTCTTAGCTTCAATCCCTTAATCATCTTTCTCTACACTATCTTTTTAACTTCCTCAGTACTATATTCCAGTACCTACTGCCAAAGAGTCCTATTCTCCATTCCTCTAATTCTAGCCTCCTGCACATATCCACCATAGAACCCCTACAATCGACTGTGGAACCTAATTGGGCATATATATAATGTCTCAACAGAAACATGGCACTTTACATAGAATCATAGAGCTGTACAGCATGGAAGCAGACCCTTTGGTCCAACTCGTAAATGCCAGCCAGATATCCTAAATTAATCTAGTCCTATTTGCCAGCCTTGTCCCAATTCCTGTAAACATTTCCTATTCATATACACATCCAGATGCCTTTTAAATGTTGTAATTGTACCAGCCTCCACCACTTCTTCTGGCAGCTCATTCCATACATGCACCACCTTCTGATGAAAAAGTTGCCCCTTGGGTCCCAATTAAATCTTTCCTTTTTCACCTTAAACCTATGCCCTCTAGTTTTAGATTCCCCCACCGTGGGGAAAAGACATTGGCTATTTACCTCTCTGTGCCCCTCATGATTTTATAAACCTCTATATGGTCGCCCCTCAGCCTCTAAAGCTCCTGTGATAATAGCCCCAGCCTAAGACAGTCTCTCCCCACAACTCAAATCCTCCAACCCTGGAAACATCCTTGTAAATCTTTTCTAAACTCTCTCAAGTTTCACAACATCCTTCCTATAACAGGGAGGCCAGGATTGCATGCAGTATTCCAGAAGTCTAACCAATGTCCTGTACAGACGTACCATGATGTCCCAACTCCTATACTCAATCTTACCATCAAGTGTATAAGTCCTGTTCTGATTTACCTTTCCAAAATGCAGCACCTCACATTTGTCTAAAGTAAACTCCATTTGCCGCTCCTCGGCCCACATAGAGCAACACACACTCATTGCTGCACTGAAATCAAACTTAGATTTTGTGTTCAATTCCATGGATTGCAACTTGAAACCAGAACTTTGGCTTGAAGGCAAGGAATGGAGACTGTACTACTGAAAAGAGGAACTCTGGTTATTAGTCTCTGCTATACACATAAGGTTGCAGAGTAGCCCAAGCTACCTAGCCGATTGTTAATGTGAGTTGGAAAATTATAGGTCTGCAGTCTATGAATTTTGATATATGGTTATAGTGGACAATATATCTTGCAGAAGAAGGGCTTGAAAAGTGGTAGCACACTTTGTTGCTTTGAAGTGTAGTCTCCAAACTTTGAGCATAAGATTGGCTAGGTTACCATGCTTATTCTTGGTAATTTTACCCAAGATTCATTTTACATCTGTCTTCAACATGTGTTTGTTTTACAAACATCTTTTCATCTGCCTGTAGTCTGGTATTTAGAAATTGACCAAGGAACTGATTTCAGTGCTGCAAGATTTAATATTTATTCAATTTATATGACAACAAACAGGCATTGTTGTTTTAATTATCTGTTTCCTGCTACTTTTGGGTTTTATTATTTTTGGGCAGATATTCGGTGTGGACTTTGCAGAATTAAGTCACAACCCAGTATTGTGTTTTACTATCGATCCCACACAGGAGAATCCTGTCCCCATGGTAACATCTTTTTCTCTTATATTATCTCAGTTTCTATCAGAGCTTTTCAGCAGTAAACAAAGAATGGCATGCATTGTGCCTTCCTTTACTCTTTTCATTAATGGTGCTCCATGAACTATAATAAAAAAAATGTTTGTTTTCTACTCAGGAGAGGTTCTGCCAATGTTCTGAATAAGGCCTCCCCACATTTCATTGCAGACATTCTTAACAGTAATCATACAAAATGATGTTTAATTTCCAGTCATTTAAAGAGGAATCATAGCACAACTCTAAAGTCTGTAATTTGCAGACATCTACTCAAATGACATCTCCCTCACAATATTCTATCATATGGATTCTGTAGTTAATACATTTAAACCTGAACTGTCCCAATTTTGATTACAATGCTTGTGATCTCAATCAAAC